GCTGTGGGTGCTCTAATTAAAGCACCCCTCCCTCCACCCAGGAGCATGTATACAGATGTCCTTGTAGACTAACTAAGTAAGACATAAAGAGAGAGCTCTAGCACCATAGCATCTGGGTAGCAAATGCAACAATTAATTGACATGCTATTACTGTCTAAAACTATCTTCTTGTTCCTTTCTTAGTTAAATTATTTAGCTTTTTCTAGGAAGAAAACACCTAGGAAAGAAATAAGAATCTCATCTGCCATTTTGTAGCCACTTCATAATATGCTTTTTAGCAAAATGTATTTCATACCATGCAAGAAGGAAAACAGAGATAGTTTTTGTATAAAAGCCAGATGTAGAAAGGAAAGGTGGAGGATCTGGAGAGACAGAGACAGAGACAGAGACAGAGACACAGGCAGAGACAGATAGACAGGAGTGGATAGAAAATAAGATTTTCAGATGCAAATGTAACTATTTTACATCACAATGTGATTTAGGCTTAAGGGATGGCAAAAATTACATTTACACGGGCTGCCAATTTGCAAAACCATACTGTGTGTTATTTTACAGTGAATTTTTAATTTTCTATCTTGCAGAATCTGTTTCACCTCAAATGGTCACAAAAGTACATAAATTTTACTCAACATGAAAAGCATCTTTCTCTGGACAAAGGTGTCTAAGAGCCAACAAACCAGTACAGGAAATGAAGAATGATTCTGAATTCACAGAATAAACTTGGATAAAAGCAGACATCATATAATTACTCAGTTGGAGTTTAGGTAGATAGCTAATGATAACCATCCAATTTATTAGAATAAGTCAAAAATAAATGTTGGTGGATAAATTCTGGTTGCAGTTACATTGGGTATAGTGTCATTGCTGTCTTAGCCTGCTCTCCACAGGCCCTTTATTAGCACCTGGAAAAGTCAGCTCTTGCTTATGAAAGCTCATGCATCTCTGATTCAGTTAGTTCATAAAGTGCATCTCTACCCTGCCTTTGGCAGAGAGTAGGATTACTTCAGTTTTACAGTAACGCATTTGGGATTAGAATCTGGTTCATGATCTTTGGTGAATTCATGTGCTAGGTTCCGCCTGGTTTCTATGTTTCATTTGAAAAACAATGCTTGGGGTTTTGGTCCAAAGGAAAATGGAACTACCTATTGAATTACCCACATCTCTTTCTGCAACTCTTATGTCCCCTCTCCACTCTGCCCTCCCCTTCTCTCTGCTTTCATCCCCTTCCTCTTTAAAATCCTGGATATCTTTGCAACTTTTAATTTGTTCTAGGTCAGTAAGCTCCAATAATTCCAACCTTGCCTGGAATTATTGCAGGCTGATGCATATCTTTCCAAATATACCAGCCTTTCCCCATAGCTATTGATTTAAAAACTACCTACTTTACTGTATTCATTAGACATCTTTCCTTTTGAAAATTCAATTCCTTAAAATCTCCCATAAGCCTACGTGTTGCAGGGGTTCTGTGACTTTTCACTTTCTTCTTATTTTTATAGAACCAATGAATTGCTGTTGTGACCCAAAGTTTTGATATGCGTGAGACAGTTGAGTCTCTCATTCAGCCCCAGATTTTTTTTAAATGGCTTTAGGGGATAGTATTCATATTCAGATCCAAATATCAAACTATATTAGCTCAAAGAATCATAAATGAATGTGGATATTGCCCTCTTTGCTGTCAACCCTCATGCATAAAAAGAAAAAGACAGAAAAGGCAACGTGTGACTATTTCCCTCAGATTTGCACATGCTTTCTAAATCTTCTGGATTGCAACCTACTGATCTTTTAAAAAGTGTGCCTCCAGCAATACTTGTTGTGTTGCCTCTCTTTGAAATGAGCATGATAGTATTCGTTCAAATTTATCAGGGCAGCTTAACAGCATGGATCAGAAATAATTTGCCTATTTTTTGTTAAACTTATATGTGATCAAAACCTTTAACTGTTCAGATATGGGATCTGGAAGGCCTGTTGACTTGGTTTATTAGCTGAAATGTGCCTTAACTCTTCACAGATCAAGAAAAGCTGTTAAATAGAGACTGGTGAAAATTTTATTTCAGTATCTAGAAATTTCAGCCTTACTAACAATCTTACTAAGAACTCCATTTGATCCCGAGACTGACTAGACATAATTGGCTGAATAACCACAGCAGAAAGTAACTATAAAAGGATCAATGTCAGAATGGCACAAGGTTTCAAGTAGGGTTCCAGCGAGGTCTGCTTTGGGTCCATTTTTATTAATGACTTGGATGCAGGAGGAGAGAGCTTGTTGATTGAGTCTGGAGATGACCCAGGATGAGGAGGGACTGGCCTCCCACTTTGGGGGATGGGATTAAAGTTCAAAAGAATCTTGACAGATTGGATAACCGGACACTGGACCACAGAATATAACTCGACAAAGACCAATGCGAGGTGCAACACCTAGGGAAGAAAAGACAAATGCACAGATAAAGAATGGGAGATAACTAGCCAGGCAGAAGTACTCATGAGAAGGACTTGAGGGCTTTCGTGGATCACAAACTCAAAATGAGTCAGAAACATGATGCAATTGCAAAAAAAAGTAAGCAAATACAGTTTCTTTTTGCATTAGCACCATTAGCATGAGTAGTATGTCTGAGACAGGCGTTGAAAGCACATAGTGCCACTCAGTGCTGGTTAGGTCTTAGCTGGAGTACTATATGCCACTCTGGGCCTTATATTTTAGGAAAGAAGGATTCAAAGCTGAGTGACAAAAATGATAAAGGGGCTGAAATGAAAACCATACAAGAAAGGTTAAAGGAACTAGGTATGCTTAGTTTGGTGAAAAGGAGATTAAGGGGAGAGGGGAGAATCATGATAGCACTTGTCAAATATTTGAAAATCTGCCATAAAGAAGAGAAATAATAACTATTTTCTCTATCACAGAGCAGAAAACAAAGCAATGAGTTTGAATTGCAGCAAAGCAGATTTAGATGACATGTCGGAAAAAAAATCCTTACCGGCAAAATAGTACGACAATGATAGAAGCTGCTCAGGACAATGATGAAATCTTTTTCATTGGAGGTTTTTCAAGAAAAAACCAGATTGGCATATGTCTGGGATGGTTTAAGGATACTGCATCTTTATCTCTGCAGGGGTTGGACTAGAACACTGTTTAGGTCCTTTCCAACCCTATGATTCATAAGAACATAAGAAAACTGATCCGCCAAGGAGTCCAAAGGTGGAATAGGTTGTTGCTCATTACATACAGAGAGTTCACACAAGTTCCAACAACTTGCTTTTCAAGCCAATTTATTTGTATCAGCCTCTTTGATTCTTGATGTCCAGCCTCACAAGACTGGCATGCTCAGGTTGAAGAGCAGAATTTTGTACAAGTGTACTCAAACAGTACCTCATTATTTTATAGTCAGTTAATATGATCTGGTTGTTGATCAGAACCTCTTGGTATAGCTTAGTGACAAAATAATTCACAGACTTCATGATGTCATTTGGCAGTGCTGCTTGGCTTGTTCACAGTCATGTATATTTAGGAGATCAACATAAGAATGTCAGTCACTTGTCTTGATTTGACACTGAAGTACTGGAAACAGAAAAAAAAGTTTGTTTGTTTTTTTTCCTAACTGGTGATGAAGTATTGTATCCTTTAAATAAGACTTAAAAGCAGACACTTAACATTTGGTGACTGAAACACCCACTCACAATACAATAAACCCCAGCTCTCCATTGGTAGTGTGTTGTATGAGGTTTATTATTACATATAGAATCACAGAAGCATGGAAATGTAGGGGTGGAAGGGACCTCCAGAGGTTATCTAGTCCATTGATCCTGAGGCAGGATCATCCCTATTCAAACCATCCTACACAAATCCATTTTCTAACCTATTAGCAAAACTACAGAGTCAACCCTGACATAACCACAATGCATAACATCCTAACATGCCATAGGTAGAGCAGGATGGTGTATAGGCTTCCCTATGGGGGGAACTTCTCTGGAGAGTTTTCTTTGAGAGCTATATGGAGGTCCTTCCCTAACCATTGGATGAGGGATTGAAAATTTAAGGAATGAAGCCTTGTAACTTTGGTTTAATGCTAGTTTTAAAACAGTGTAAGTTTTAATTGTAAATTCTTTGGGTAGGAACCAGCATTCTGTTCTGACCATGTTCAGTGCCTAGCACAGTGTGATACTGGTCTGTGACTGGGACTCCCAGGCATTACCTAAATACAAATCATAAATATCTTTAAAGATGCACCATCAGCTTACTTAAGGCACAAATAAAAGAACATCAGGTTTCTTCTCTGAGTCCTTGTGTTGTACTTAGGAAAGTCTTTTTGAAAAAAAGTTGCCTTACATTGTTTCCTATTATA